CGTCCCGGGCGGGGCGAGCCAGGACATGGTGGCATGGAGAGGTGGTGGCCCGGAGAGGGTGACACGCAGCAGCGTGGCCTGGAGAGGGCGAGCGCGACACGCGGGATGGGGGGAAGCGGGCATGCAGCGGGGGGGGGGAGCCTGCGGGGTGCTATGCAGGGGGATGGGTGCCATGCAGCAAGGTGATGCTGCGGGTAGTGGCGAGACACCCATCGGGGGATGCTGCGTCCCCCGGTGCTGCAGGCAGCCAGGAGACCCTGATTTGCAGCCAGGCACTTGGTACCTGGCCGCATCCTGCGCCCACAGGCTTGGCTGTGCTGTGCTGGGGGGTGTTTTCACCCTGCACCAGGGCACGCTCCCAGTCTGGGGCACCCCGGCGTGCCCAGCGGTGGGGCGCCCTGGCTGGGCAGCTCCCCTTCTCATCCCAGCCCTTCTCTCTGGGCAGATGATGTCCCTCCGCCACCCGCACCTTTCGCGCACCGTGTCGTCACTCTACGGTCTGCCAGTGTCAGCTCCCAGTACAACCTCAGCTCCAAGGAGATCCTGGGAGGGTAAGGATGGATGCCCAGCTTTCCCCCAGCACTGCCCCAAGCTGTTGTCCAGGCTTGGGCAATGGTCCTGGGTCGATGGGACTTCTCTGGCCACGATGTGTTGGTGCCTCAGGCAGGATGGGTGCAGAGGGGAGCATGAGGCAGCATCCTGGAGCAGTGTGGGGGTCCCCAGTAGCCTGAGTGGCTGATGGCATTGACATCTCTCCATCTGTTCCTCCCCAGGGGCAAGTTCGGGGAAGTTCACACATGTACAGAGAAGCAGACGGGGCTCAAGCTGGCGGCAAAAATGATCCGGAAGCAGGGCGCCAAAGACAAGGTCTGACCGATGCCGGGGCGGGGGGCTCCTCCTGGCCATGGTGCTACCAGCAAGTGGCATGGCCGAGGTGGTGGGTGGCAGTGTCATGCCCCACGTGTCCCTGGTGCTGTGACACATCCTGTCCCAGTGCTGGTGGCTCGGTCAGGGGTGACACCCCATACCACCACGGGGCTCCTTCTGCAGGAGATGGTGCTGTTGGAGATCGATGTGATGAACCAGCTGAACCACCGCAACCTCATCCAGCTCTACGATGCCATTGAGACACCCCGAGAGATCATCCTCTTCATGGAGTTGTGAGTGCCAGGGCAGCGCTGCATGGGACCTGATGCCTGGATGAGGGGCACCATCATGGGGGATGCTCCAGAGATGGAGCAGATGTGCTGGCCCCTCACCAAGCAGAAGGAGTTGGCCCCAGTGAATGTCCCTCACATTGCCCATTCCCTCTTGGGCACCTCCTCATCTCATGTTGAGCTTGGAGGCAGCCCCAGGCTCTGCCTGGCCAGGACAGCATCTCCTTCCATCGCAGCTTCGTTTAAGGTGGACATGACTCAAGTCCTTCCCACACAGCTCCTTTTTCCCCTGCCCACTTGCTCCAGGAGTCTGGGGCTGTGCTGGGGCTCTTCTGCTCTACAAAACCCAGTGGAGCTGGGATGTCCCGGGGTTACCCTCCCCGCATGCCTGCCTTCGGGGGGGTGTCTAATCCCAGCAC